TCTTACTGTACACAAAAACTGCTCCTCGAGTTCTTTTTGATAAAATGTAATAAAAAAATGCGGTCATAGAATTTTCAGAAGGAAATGTTGTACTTACAATGCCTTCAGTATTTTTTATTCCACAGGTGTATAATAAAATCGTCGAACTTCCAAATCGAATATGTAATATAATGATCGAATGAAGCAACAAAATGACAAGACTATGTCTACGTTTATTTTCTAATCAACGAATTGAACAATTTCTTGTAAATAAGCTGAACAGTATTTTACATTATGTTTAACGTGCAAATAGTCGACGAAATATTTTCTATTTAAGCCACATCGTCAACTATAAAAATCATAATGGCTACTCATTTGAACATTTAATAGTCTATAATTAAATTCAATTCTACGTGATTGCATCCGGTAGCTAAACATTGTGACTATGCATGTGTTTCGTGACCTTCTACGATCAATCGAATAATTTATTAATATTTATGACCGATACTATTCCTTCTGCCCTCGTGAGAATATTTTCACGGCGAGCAACTGTTACGCATAAATCTGCGATTGACTTTCTATGGTTTTTTTTACCGTGGAGCATTGCGATGCAGTTATGTTAGCGACAATTAGCGCAAGCAGCCTGTTACGCTTCTTATTTGGATAGACGGAACAGTGCGGCTGCTTTTATGAGCAAAAAACGACATTCCCAAGAATTCCATTATACACGGTTTCATAGTCTACTTTATATTTTCTCGAGACATTATAAGTTTCATTTCTTTATTTTTCATTCATTCAAACTTTCTTTACGCTCTCAGGAGCACAACTTTTCCATTCTACATCATTAAATGAAATTGTTGAATGCTATTGGGCAACATTTCATATAAAATCCGGTGTTGCGAGAGAAGCAGTCGCAAAAACTTGTAGTCCACTATATATGTACAGAGTAAAGAATGACCTGGAAGTGTAAATATAGAAATAAACATGCAATATAAACTGTAGAAACAGAGAAAACTTATCCGACTTGAAGCTTCCCTTTTACAAAGAAAAGTAACAATTTTTGTAAAATCCACAAAGTGTGCAGTTTGTTTACAATGTGACGAGTTTCGATTATCGAAGGAATTTAATTATTCAGTCATCGAGGATACAATTCGTGCAGGTAATCGAGATTCTACTGTACTTACAGATTTTATATTTCATGTACTTATATTCATTGCTTATATTCATCTCGTTGAACAAGAATGTTATTTACTAAATACATTTGCCAAAAAGTAAATTATATAATGCTTCATTAAATGAATCGAAAATATGATATGAAATTATTTATTTTAATTACGTTGTATTTTTCAGAATGTAACCGTTTTAGGTTTTGTTATTAACACTAAACGTACCGACACTTTGTATATACTTATACTCACTTACCGTAACTGATCAAATAACTTAGTTATAAAATAAAGGTAAACACAGACGAGAAATTTTTCTTATTGGAAACGAATCATTTAAATGATTAAATAAGATGGATTAGGTTTTATTAATACTAAATGTACCGGCATTTATACATATCTATTTCTAAAGTAACCAATCGAATAACTCGTTGCAAAATAAAAATAAACAAGTTCGACAGTCAATTGTTCTTAGTGAAAACAGAAACAAGAAGAAAGGAAGACACTAAGAAACTGATTAATCGCATAATATAGAAATGTATTTAATGTTAAATGAACAAAGAAAAACAGAGAATATTAAATCAAATTTTCAAACCAAATTATTAATTAAAATTCAAAAATATTAATGTTAATAATCCAGAAAAGTTTTCAAAATAATCATCGTTTAATTGAACGAATTATAGCAATTCGATTTGCTTATCACCAGGTGACCACCACGGTATTCAATATTCAGTACCGCGTTAACAATAAAATTGGTTGTAAATAACGTTTAACGTTGAAAAGAACCATTGAGAAGGTGTGCATGACGCAGAGGTTGGGAAACGCTGTTCTAGTCAGCCGATGTAGATTGCTGGATCGCCGTTTCACTCTCGCGTTCCCATTTACCGCGCCGCCGATTGGGGTCCGTTGTCAGTGTCAAAACGACACTGACAACCACCGCGAACCAACTGCCAGCGGAGAACGATAAGCAATGTTGGACTTTTCGCAGCACTGCCTCAAACAAATTCCACTCGATGAAATTCAAAATTTTGTGTTCACTTCGTTCGTAAGTTTACTGACTGATTTACGAATGCTTGGAGTATCTTTAATACTAAACATACCGGCCTCTGACAATTTTCATAATTTTATAATAAAATTTTAAATAGTTTTCAAATTTCATATAAAACTCTGTATTTTCTTTCGTCCACTTAACTGTATATCAATCCTTATATTGTCCGATCAATCAATTTTTCAATATTTGCCTTTCCTTGTGTTTCTGTTTCCACTAAGAAAAATTCATCGTTTCATTTGCTTACCGTTATTTTATATCCAATTATTTGACTGGTTACGATAGGAATAGGTATACACAAAGTGTCGATTTAGTGTTAAGCTTAAAATAAACAATTCTATGTTCTTTGAAGTTTCGTATCATTGATTTTGGTGAAAGCGTTTCTTTTGTCGTGAATTTTTCTGGTTGAAGTTGTTAAGAATTTTTTCCCTTACGATTTAAATGCGTTTATGTTGCGAAAAGGTTCTTTTGAATTTAATATCGATGTTTATTATTTACTTTAATTCAATATTTATTTTTAATTGTTTTGTCGATTAGATTGAAAATCTTACTGCAAGAGAGTTATATCTACGTATAGTCAGATTACACAATACTTGAAGGCTTTTCGATTTTTTGTGCTAGCTTGTGTTGATATTTTGATGCAAAACGGCAACATTATACAATATTTACACGTGCGCGTAATAGTCCGTTTTTACGTCGTTGCATCAACATTTTTGCATATAATTATTTTCGTTCACCTTTCATTTCTTGTTTCACACTGCGTTGCGTGCGTTTATCGTTTTACGGTTTAATAGGTAATTAAAATCTATTTAAATATAAACTAACGTGTTTTACATTCAATTTACGTAAAACAGATATTTTTACTAGCAAAAATATCTGATATATTAAACTACAGATGAATTCATGTAAAATTTTAATTAATGGTAGAAATATTATTTTATTAAAAGTAAACACCGATATGTAGAATACACGTTGACGATGAAGTCTGGCAAACAGCTGCATTTGAATGAAAGATAATGAGGTAGCAAAAGATGTCAGTGGTCTAGTTATAAATTAGTATTGAGTTGATGCAAAAGTTTTGACTTTCCTTTTGTAAGAAATAAAAAGTAGAGTTTTAAAACTATTTTCATTGACTTAATGTATCGCATAATTTCCATTACAATTATCAGAAAGAAAAATGACGTTCTGTACTTTAGATAAAAGAGTTATGTCAATGCTTCATTTAGTTAGTTCTAAATCTACGTTAAATCTACCGAACAATTGGAGTGACTTTTAAAGTGATTTTTTTTTTAAATTGAAACAATACGTTTCTTGAGATTCGAAGGGTCTGCCAGTTCTGTATCTACAAATACACAAATTTAACTTAAAGTCTCTCGCAGAAACGCCTTCATAATTTAAATAATTATAAAATCTGGGTCAATTTTACCTTAGTAGAAGTGTAAGTTTTAATGTTAATGTCGCAATTAATGTAATAGGTTAACGATGGGGACATTTAACAAGTACATTCTAAAAACTCATTCGTTAATAAATAAATAATAAATACTTACAGTAGGATAAACTATCATTAAAAGAGATTTAAAGCTTGTACCTTTACCAAAAAGGCAATTATAATAAATATCGAAGTAACCAGAATAGAATTACAAGAAAAAAATCCCAAAATTATTCTTCTATCAGTTACAATAGTATTTTCTATGTATTTTCATTTAACACTAGAACTAAACACTTAAACTGACCTTCCTTAACATTTTCATACAGACCACAACATTGCATTCATTAAAATTCCAATCATCTTACGTTTCAGTTGCATATTACCTATCTACTTCAACAATCCGTCAAAGAAGTATTTATCCCTTTTCAATAATTGGGAAAGAAGAAATCAGGTATTAGTCATTCCGCCCCACCTGACAGTTCTAGTGTTTACACTATAGCGACCACTTGTGATCGGGATAACCATTTCCACACGACCGATACAGTTTTCCGTATCGCGTAGGAATGTATGTTTTTACTTGTAAAGCTTTATAACTTTCACACTAGAACTACCAAGCAGTCAAATTAACTTGTTTAAATTCTTCTAGAGAAACTTTAAAGGTCCCTATACACGCTGAAACATGCGGCGATGTAGGCATCGCTACAAGCGATGGGTTTGAGCCTTTTCCACTTTCTTTTTGAGTGCAACATGTATCATGAAACTTTGGAAGACTCAAATCTATCACTTGTAGCGATGCCTGCATTGCCGCAAGTTTCACCCGCGTGGGACCTTAAGGGTGCATCTATTAAGATTCTAATTGATTCACAATTCACTTTGCATGTTGCTGTATCAATTTCTTTGATAATTTCCCCCGAAAGTAACTGTTACCTTTTCGACAATTGCAAAACGAAAAAATCAAGAATAGGTTAATGATCCGTCCGGTAGTTAAAACTTAATTTTAACACTAGATTTAAGGACATTTACTGTACAGACTTCACCTTCAAATCTACATTTTTTTCCTCTAATTACATGCTCCAGACCACCGAGCGACATCCACGGTGTAGTTTACGTTGCGGTAATTTTCGTCGGCGTGGCCGTGCATCGTTACCTATTCGACCAAAACGTGGACAACGAGAGAAAAAGACTCGGGCCCGGTGAATGAGGCTACCGAAAGACTAAATATCGGAGGAAGGGGTCAACAGATCTCTGTCAAGAGTGAGAAAGAGGAAAACGGAGAGGCGGAAAGCTGAAAAGAGAAAGAGAACGTCAGCTAGCCAGCACGAGAGAGGGGCAGAAAGAGAATGACAGCGGGCTCTCGTTCACTATGGTCAGTGCTTTTCGAACTGTTGCCAGTGACAGTTCCTCGAACATGTGGCGGTGGATCCTGGATCATTGACTATCGATCTTTTAGAACTTTTTAGAGGCTGTCTTATATATATATATATTTTTTAGTTCCTCGCTTGAATCGGTACAGTATTTCACTTGAGTTCGTCGTTCGGGCCACGAGTTCTTAACTATTTTTGTTCTTTTCTCCTCGCTTGGTGCTACTGTTCCACCCTAGGAGTGTTACGTTCCCGTGAAACGAAAAAATCTGGCGAGGAATCATGGTAAGTAGCTATTTACTTTTGCATACGTGATCGGTGAAATGAAAGAGTGTGGGGTTGTTTGTATGTGGTTGTAACTTAGATTGTCGATAAACAGTTTGGGACCATTTGCATGTTTGATTGCACATATTAAAAATGGTTTTTATATATAATATATATATTATATATTATAATAATAAATTAAAATAATCATAGAAAGTAATTCGGTGTAAATGATTTCTTGTTGTAGGAGTTGAAAATTCATTTTGAATAAAGTTAAATAATAGTATTCATATATATCGGACTTTTTAGTTTCTCAGTTTTCATATTTGATGGAGGTGTAATGTCTATGTTCCGTTATTATGTACAAAAAATTTCAAGTAATAATTGTTTTCCAAAACTGGAGTTTCTTTACCAACCAACGCAGTGGTCCCAAACTTTCGACCGACAGCGCAAATTCGTTCGTCGAAGATTTCTTTTTGTATTATTAGTTTCATGTAACAGTGAAATAACAATGTTGAATGTTTAAAGTGACCAGAAATGGCTTGTCATGCCTATTTTCAATACGTTACAATTGAATCCACAAGATCGAAATATGGCCATACTTGTAACCAAACTTATTTATTTTACTACGGAATATTGTGATTTTTGAGGTAGCAGAAGTTGAAAACTATTAGTTATACCATCGACTGTATTAAATATTATTTATCAACCGTTCAATATTGTATGTTTTATATTATCATTCCATTATATGAATTTATTCTAAAAAGACGTTATTCTAACGATGCGTGACGTATTATACGAATGTTACTGTTACAAAAATGTATAGCGTTTATAAAAGCTCTCTCACAAGGACGGGGATTCGCGACGTAAAGTTGAACGTCGAGTTTCTTCGGCCGTTTGACCCTAATTACCTCCCCTCGTACCGTTTCCGAAGATTTCACCTGCGACCCGTTACCTCACGGACTACCGGTGAATTCTCAAAGGGACCGCGAGCGTGCCAGCGTACCGATTCGATCTCTAAACCAGTCGTTGACAGTTTTTACTCTATACAATCAAGTGGTTGCAACAGAAATACAATTGAATATTTCTACTGAAATGTCTGTTTATCAATTAATACTTCTATTGCAATGTCTGCTTATTAACTAATACTTCTATTGCAATTGTTTCACTGGCAGACAGTTTAACCCTTCGCACTCGATGATGTTTTCCATTTTAATTATTCTTTTCTGATGAAATATCAATGATATTTTTTTGCAACTAACGTAAAGAATAATTTTGCATAAATGTAAGGAAATATTTTATTTCAATGTTTCATGTGTTGATACATTATGAAGAATTTAATATTGAATTTTAAATATCATGATTGTACTGCGTTGAATTAAATGGCGATTGGAATTCACCTCTTGAGCGCAATATTTCTTAGTTTCGTAGAGCAGTGAACACCGTCGAACTTATACTTCTGTTGCTCCAATAATTGGTCATTGGTAAACTACCAATTTTTATGTGTTTGTGGCAACTTCAAAAGTGTAAAATTGCAAAAATGCATGCAATACGAAGAAATATATAAAATATCCAAGGTGTAGTGCTTCTGATAGTATTTATTGAGGAAAACAATTTTCCATTGTAATTCTATTTTTCTAACCATACTCTTAAAAATTTCATTTTTACATAAAGATGCACAGTTACCAGTGCAGAGCAATATTTATTTCGTGATTAATCGTCGTATCACTGTTATCGCTATAGACGCATAGCGATCACTAACAAAATAGACTCAACAGTGCATTTTACATTTTTGGTGAATGCAACTCGTTATTCTCCATTTCGATGTATAAATCCTGTGACAAGCCGAATTCATTATGCCAATAGAAGGGTTAACAGTTAATTGGAAAGTTAAACGGAAAGTGAAATTTATTCTGCACAATTTCCTTCGCGACGAAGCCTGTCGAATATAAATTAAAGTTACAATAAAGTAACTCATGAATACTTGTTCGCGATAAGCCGTCACAAGCATTTCTCTTAACTGCTGGTCAAATTCTATGCGAACTTTTATTCTCTGTTTTGTGAAAAATAAACGAATCCGGGAACAGGAGAAATCGGTAACAGCGAAGAGAGTAATGTAATGCTCAACTACACCATACCTCACTTTGAAATTCAAGAAATTCCTGTATATTTTGACCTACGGCGTTGCACGAAGAATCGGGTTGTATGAAAGTAGTGGTCGCAAAATCTTCGTTACACAGGAGTCTACTGTATTAGTCAGTCGCCAACCGAAAAGTAAAATGAAAAGTGAAACTGTTGACTTTCCGCAATCCGTTGAACGCTTTTTTCACGCGAGGGAACCGATCTCGTTGCCCACGCGGAATTCATCAGGGCAGCCGAACTCTATCGTTCCCCGGACTCGTTTCATTTTTCGATTCGGACGATATTACATCACGCATGTAGATTCATGTAAGACCACCGTGGAACCGGTCTGAAAAGAGATCGATTTGGAAAGGATTAAAACGAACGTCAGGATCGTGACGGCCCTGCGTCACCCTTTTCTCTTGATTTTTTCTGCCCCCAAACAACGGTGAAACAATACGTGTACTTATAGCGAAATTTATTGTAATGTTTGGGTAGATTAGATCTTTTGGCGAGATGTTTATCATCTAATGCTGCCATTTTTGGCAAAGATCATTTATACTTTTATCTTCGTGGCGTATATATAAGCATTTGCTCCTGGCAAATTGTGGAAGCAATTGTTTTGGATGTAAAATATAGTTCTGTATTTAGTTTTATTGTTGAATGTACTACTTTTTGGCAAGACAAAAATTCGTTAGAATTAAGCATTCTCTTTTTCCTTGTATGTTTACCTCTGGGGACTAATGAAATTACGCAAACGCAATATGGATTGTTAAAATGTGGAATTTCTATAAAAATCACTGAGTTCTGTCTTCGATCTGTAAGAAAACTGTCTGAAATCATGTGAATAAATATAAAAAAAGGTTTTATATATTGTGAATATTCAAGGTATAATTTCATGAGTGGAAGATTTATTATTCTGTTTTACAAATCGTGCATTAGGGTAAGAGACAAAATTTGCATAGGACTCAGTCAGAAGAAGATCTGATAGAATTAACAACCGAAAACTAATTCCAGGAAAAGTTTCCTATGTTCTTTCGTGGCTTGCGAGTGTTCAGCCTTGTAATGGTGCTCGATAAAAATCAGTAACAGGGCTCTTTAAATCAAGTTCTCGCTAGGTATCACGGTGATCTTGATTTTATCAGAGACATAAACTGCTCGACTGAAAGTGTCAGATCAGTTTGAACAAAAATGATATTTAATGCAGCAGAATATTCAGCAGAGAAATAATAAGAATAATTGTCAAACTTTAAACGTTAACTCTAGAAAAAGAATCAGTAAACAAATGTACAAAATACTTAACGCAACTGAAAATGTAAGGAAATATAAAAATGCATTCTTCGAAGGAAATGTTACGAAACACTGCTTCTGCTTTATTACTTTTAAAACGTATTATCAAAATATTCTGACTTTTCATCATTTCAACATGTAAAACTGTATTTAGTCATAATTCGGTTGAAAATTTGCGAATTCATCGAAACATTTGTACGAAATTTGCAAATGAATACGTTCCAGGCCACCGATTATAAGTGTTTTGATGATTGGCAACAATTGTTTAGAAACAAATCCATTAAACTGTTAAATACGTATAAATAAGTTCAGTAGAACGAGTGATGTAGAACTATGCATTTTCGTGAAATCAGGTGTCAACGATAAAGCCAAAAATAAACCAATGAATTAAACAAAAATAACAATACATCAACACTTTTGTTTTAATTACTTCTCATGTATAGGTCGATTGGACTATCAGTCTTTTATATTACATTCCTTCGTAATTCTTTAAGGGTTAAAAAGATCGATTTTTAACACAAAAAGGTGCATACTGGCCAAGTGCTTTGGCAATAAAATCTAGGGAAAATGAAAAAAAGCGTACCTAATCGATTTAGCCTGTGAGCGGTTGGAATAACAACGAGCAAATGCCGATCGGCGAAATTTCTTGGTATCTCGACGTATCTCGTAAATCGAGCGAGCAGCGACAGTTTCCTGCCCACGCATTCTTGAGGACCTTCGCTGTAACAAGTACCAAGAACTCGTTTTATCCTTCCGGGTTACTCAAGCCCTCTCACTTTCGTCGTGCGACGAACTCTCGTGGTCAATTCTCCTCCTTGATAAATCGAACGAATTCGTAAAACGGAATCGAAACCGCGCGAGTAAATGTGTATACGCGCGACTTCGATATTGGTTAGGTCCACGCGTCGACGGTGGCCATTTTCTTTTCTTTCGGGCGGACAAAGCTGCGCCGGCTCGACGACAAATGAGTTGTTTATAGGTCAAGGTGATTAACTTCACTTTTTGAGTGTTCGTGAATTTTGGTACTAGGATATTTAACGAATAGTAATTATTATAGTTCATTATGTATGCAATTGCGTCAAATGTATCTAGTTCTCGTTTTGTGGAGTACGTCGATTGAGGCAATGAATGGTTTCAAATAAAGTTGTATAAAATAAAATTGTATAAAGAAAATCACATGGAGAAGTACCTTATAAGTGACATTAATCTTAAAAGTATTAGAAAATTACTAAAATATGAGTATGTATATAATACTCAATATTATTATTAAGAAAGATTTTTCATCGTATACATACAGTGATTTAGAAATGACTGTTTTAACCCTTTATCTAGTAATATCGAGTAAAACTCATTATGAAGACTTCAAATTAAACAAATATAAATATGATTTAGTTCACGCCAATTAAAAGGAAATGCAATTTTAATACTTTCACAATAATTACTATTCGGAGAACTTATTAACGATAAAATCAATTTTATGAGCTTAAACGGGAAAAGATCGTAAGGTGAGAGATTCATTTCATGTGACAAGCTTGTGATTAGAGAAATCACATTCATGTGTTGCCGGTCACTAAAGTATCAATCACAAAGCAACGTTGGAAACGCTGATT